CTATTTGCCATGGCTATCAACTTCTTTCAATGTGAATGCACTTTAGATAAAGAAATTGGACTTTCCATCCTTATATTCTATGCAATTTCATGAGCACAAGTAATTCAAACGTGCTTCTGATCACGCAACCACAAACATTTGCTTTAATCTCAATATGATTAACTTGTTTGACCTCAATCAATATCGTATTCAATGTGTTTCTAGATATCAAACATCGTAACTCTTTAAGTAATGAAAGTTTGAAATTTTGCTCAACAACCAAAGCCTTCATTCAAATAAAACCTTGATCTATATATGTTGGAGCTCAATAAATGCGTTGATTACTTCTATGATGATTCAAAATCCCCTTACAATGATCCAAAATGTCTTTTTAATTTTGCATGTGCACTATTGACCTTAAACAAATTAATAAGGTATATTAATGATTTATTATGAAATGCTACAAAACATAATAATCTTAACACTGCAACATAAATCATACCTATGCTAATCATTGACCTTTTACATACTTTATTACATCTGGATAAGTTTGATAATCAATTTCTAATGAGCTTAGATGCTTTTCGTACTCATCATCAATAGATGAATACAGAAGTACACTCTAATTGGACATGAATACCTCTTATTTTTTCATCTGATAAAAAAATTTCTTATAATTTGCAAGTCCATTTCTTTAGATATGCAATTGGCACAAAAGATTGATCATACTTGGAAACACTACCTTTATGGCATTCATCAATGCCAACTCTCTATCAGTAATAATAACAATAGAAAGTTTACTAGCAAGCATCAAATTTTTTAAATTACCCAATGCCCAAATGTAATTCTCAGAACACTTGGCCCCCAAGTATATAAATGCAACAAAAAATGTCATATTAGTGAAAGTCACATTAATAATTTTAAGCAATGGCATACGATACTATTCATTTTATAAGTGTACTCTATAATAAAGATATTTGGGAAAGCTTGAAAAAACTTTACACTAGTGGAATGAGCCCAAAATAAGTCTTTCACATAGTAGCTTAACTCATCAATCCTATGCCACTTTAGGTATTTACAATCAATCAACTTTTTCATGAGTTGTTACATTTGTGATCTATTAACTTTTCAATATATTTGTATCTTTAACATTTATCATATATTGCCTTTATAGTGCTACATTATTCTCATCATGTTGTTTTATGGTCAACAATATGTTTTTAGGTCTAATCATATTGTTTGACATATTAGCAACTATTATTTTTTTCTTTTCAGTTAATCGACCTACAATTGAATGTCCTTCTAATTGTTTTATTGGTAGATGATTATGAAATTTACATACTACTTTCACACCCCACTTAATCTCATTTAACTCAAATGGGCAACCACACTTTTTTGTTTTTGTTCTCTTACGTTGCATTTTTTCTACATTGTCCTTATTCCTTTGCTGTTTATACTTTTCACTTCATTCACATGCCAATCTTATTTTAGGTTTCCTCGAGCCTCCCACCTCAGAGTTTTTTTTATTATAATCACAAAACATTGATCTTTTCCAACTTACCTAGCTCATAAAATCAAAACTTCTCCACTACAAAACACATGAATAACATATTTAACGTATTACGTTCATTCAAACTAATATTTTATTCATTTCATAACCCTCAAAAATATAATCTTACTTTTTCTATAATAAATGAATCCTTGCAATCATATCTAGTATCTAAATATTTTTGTGATTGATCCCACTCTATCAATGTAGTTTTCAAATTGGTCTACATATCACAGTATATTAAAAAATTATAATTAAAAGAAATATTCAATTTTTAAAGAATTATGATACATTTTTAAAAATGAATTTATGAAAATACAACATAATCTTTAGAAATAAATTTTTAAAAATATGTTGTATTTTCATAAATAAATTTTCTTAAATATAAAAATACAACTTTGATTGGATTGAGATATCATAACCTCGTCGACTCCTATTATTGTTTCTCATTTCTCTAACTATTTTTACACAATTTACAGGATTTAACAAAAATTTTAAAATTTTATTTTTAAAGATTTAGGGTTTAAAGTATGAGGAAAAAAATGAAAAAAGAAGAAAAGTAAGAAGAAGAAGAGAATGCGGTAAATGAGGTGTAATGAGAATACAATTATACGTTACTAAATGATAAAATTGATATTTTATATATGAGTATTTTTTAAAAACTAAAAAATTAGGATTTAGAGAAAAAATTTATTGATGCATTTAAAACTTCCCGATATATTAGACCGCAAAAGCACGGTGCCGTTTCGATTTTGTTTTGTAAGTTCCCGCAAAGTTCATAGGATATTCGTTGTACAGGAGTTGTACCAAAATGATAACTCAAAGTAACACTTGTCCTTGCGGTCAGGTAACTCGTCTACGTCACGGCGAAACCACTCCCGCCATGAATGGTCTCTCTATCCTCTCACTACCTTCTCTTCTCCCCACAACCAAACACTCCCAAATTCCTCATTTCCACTCTCTCGCTCAATCCCTACCTTTCTGTTGCCCCAAATCCATTCTCTCTCCTCTTTCCTTGCGTCTCTCTTTCAAATCCCCACGCTCTCCCTTCTCCGACGAACCCCAACTCTCCGACGCCGACGAAGAAGAGCTCGAAGATGACGATGACGATGACGACGACGATGATTTCGAAGCTGCAGACGAATATGACCAATACGACGGCGCTTCAGGCGAAGCTTCGGACGATGTCCAACCGAGTGACGACGAAGCCGAAATCTCCGTGGATTCATCGAGCCGGCACAACGAATCCTCGTGGCAACGAGTCGAAAAGCTCTGTAACTTAGTTAGGGAATTTGGCGAGGAAATGATTGACGTTGATGCGCTCGCTGATATTTACGATTTTCGCATTGATAAGTTTCAGGTTCCCTTTTTTCAGTACTTCACTTTTCTTCTGGAACCTTTCTTTTCTTTTCTTTTTTTTTTAAATTATGATAATGATCTTTCCTTTTATTTTGAAGAGAATGGCGATAGAAGCATTTTTAAGGGGGTCATCGGTGGTGGTTTCAGCGCCAACTAGTAGCGGAAAGACTTTAATTGCGGAAGCTGCCGCCGTGGCAACCGTAGCCAAGGGAAGGAGGTTACTGTATACAACTCCGCTTAAAGCATTATCCAATCAGAAGTTTCGACAGTTTAGGTAATCGAAGTTATTATCCATCCCTCTCAACAAGCATAATGAACTACTATAATTTTCACTTTATATTTCTTTTTTAAATTTATTTTTATTAAGTTTCCATAAGTTTGATAATTAATTTTGAGTTACGGTTCTTATTACAGACATTAAATTGCATACAGTTTTAATATCTCAAACCATAATTGTGGGGTACATGTGGCTTCCAAATAATTTTCACTTGTGCCCTGCCACGATGAATGGGAGTGGATAGTTGTGTCATTGTAGTGAAATAATTATAGGTGATATGAATGCTTCAAGCTAATATGGTAATCTCGTTGTTTTAGGGAGACATTTGGGGATAATAACGTCGGGCTTCTCACAGGTGATTCAGCTGTCAACAAGGATGCTCGGATTTTAGTCTTGACTACAGAGATTTTGCGCAACATGTTGTATAATAGGTACTCTAGCTAACAATTGCAAGAATTTTGTCGTATTGAGTCGTAGAAGAATTGTACTTGTTCTTGGCACAGCTTATACCTGGCATTGTGCAATTTGATGTGAATGACGCCATATATCTAACGCATATTTGGTTATATACTTATATATATATATATATATATATATATTAAGTACTGCATATTACTTTGGCAACAAAATGTTGTAGTAGCAGTTTCTACCCTCCATTGGGAGGTTATTGGAAGCCTCATTTTTATTTTAGATCTCGGAATAATCACACTTGTATTGCCTTTTAGGAACA